CAAATAAACCCATTTCAGGTGTTTGGCTGTAACCCTTTCACAGCTGTTGCTCTTTATAGCCACTTAGAACAATATTCAATAGTATGCATGCTAAAATCTGAACTGAGACCGAAAATTAAAATACCAGGTAAAAATAGGCAAAGAAAGAACTACAAATCTTACTGGGGGCAGTTGAGCAGTTTTTTCTTCTTGCTGGATTGGGTTGCTGGCTTTATGGATGATAAAAAATATTTTTTATGTTTAAAAAAGGTAGTAAACTTCCTTTGGATTAACAGTATTGTAATCTATCAAACATGAAAGCCACAAAAATACTGAACATTGTTTTTGACATGAGCCCACTGACTCTGCTGGAGCCACATCCATTTATCTTTCAAAGGCTGTGGGTACTCATAATTACAGATTTTAGAGCCAGAGGAGACTGTTTTATGTCCTGGTCTCACCAGGGCAGCAGAACCCTAGAATTTTATCATTAAATTCATTAAAAATGTAGCTTCTAACAGTGGCTGGCTTGCAGTGGGTTGTGGTGAAACAGCTGCTATGTACATAACGGAAACACATCTGTAGACTGAATAGTGTGCGCATGTGGATTCCCCCAGCCTGGAACCATCTAAGAAGCTATGGTAATCCCCACCAGTGGATGCAGTCATACAGATGGCAAATGACTTGCTCCTTACCCTCTTCGGCCCAAATAAATTGTGGTACAGTGTTCTGAAAAACGGGTGTAATTGCATCGATACGCTCCTCCCATTAGGTACTCTATCACCAAACCAATATCAATCAGACTTATCCGATAATCAGGAGGTAAGTTTCCCTGCAATGAAAATAAGAAGGATGGTGGGGGAGGAAGAAATGCTTATTACTGGCATTGTTTATTATACTTTAGAATGGTGTTAGAATAAAACAAATTAAATAGTTAAAAAGAGAAATGTATTATTAGGCTGGTTAATTAATTCACCTTAAAATAGATCCAACCGAAACCTGGATATTCTCGCTTGGAAAGAAGACATAGGTTAAATAAGAAGGTGAAGAACTTGTTGGAAGTAACAGAAGATAATGTCAGTACACAGTACTCGTATTCTTCAGCTGGGGAAACAAGGAACACGACTGCAGGACAAGAAGCACGAGGATGAGTACACTTGAAAGGTCAGGCACAGTTGCTGGACTCTAGTCCTGCAAGATAGCACCTTTTCTGCACCACCTGTCCCCTACAACTCTTGTCCTAGCATCTCACGTCTCTGCTGGCATCTCTTTGGACTGCCTCATCTGCACTGCCAAGGCACAGTGAAGTCATGACATATCATTTGTTCATAGGGCACCAGCTCCTGCGTGTGATCTTACCATCCTGCAGTGTTTCCTTCCCATGTTCCAGGAAAGAAAGGCAGAGGTAAAAGAGGTAGAGGACTACTCTACTCTACTCTAGAGGACTTGCACAGTGCATTAGTTACTATTATGGCTAGCTGCTAGAGGCAGAGAGTCTGTTAGCATTTGTTCTTGGTGTTACAAATAAACACTTATTTTTTTGCTTATATTCCACAACTCATGTGAGGAAAGCATCTGAATGTATGGATGCAAGTATAAAAGTTGTAATAAACAAAATATCTGTGGCTAATCCTTTGGGGTTTTGTTCAAGAAGAAAACTCATTGAAATCCCAACATACGTTACCAAAAACCTCCCTAAGCACAGTAATCTTGCTACCTAATTTCCATTAGTGCCAGGGAGACTGTCTCTCAAGAGGTGCTTGTCACAAGGGTCATCAGCAGGATCCTGGAAAAGACATCTACATACTTGCTCTTCTGCTTCTTTTCCTTTCTTATTCTCTGTTAAATATAATACACATATACAATGTCTTCAGCATATACCTTTTATTTTGAAGGGAAAAAGAATGATAAATATGTCCGCATCTTATTGCCCTCACTTTGTGATCTCCTGAAAATAGCCACACTAATGTTATGAATTCTCCAATATTTACGGCTTGCAAAGCTATGAAGAAAGATCTCAGTTGCTTACAGCATATGAATCTGAGTCTGCTTTTGAGTTAACTGGGCATTTCTGTTCTCCAGTAGCAGTCAGCCTGATGTGATGCTTCACAGGCCAGAACAATTCCAGGGTGGGCTGGTCTCACAGATGTGCTGGTGAAGTGCTTTTAGGGGTCTCTGGCAATCGAAGAACAAAACCCCAGTGTAGGCACATCAGCTTTTTTGTTCCTTCCTGAGAACTCCACAAGGAAAACTCCTTGCCTTACAGGAGGGAAGGGCTAATGCAAAGTGAATGTCTCCAAATGAAAGTTTGCCTCTTTCTCTAAACCACTGCCTCCAAATTGTTCAGCTGAGAGTTCAGTGTGCAGTTCCCTACCAGAAAAGAAGGTGTGATACAGCAAATTGTGAATAGGTCACCGAGATCTGTAGATCTCATTAAGAACCCTGCAGATTTACAGAAAATTCTCTGTCCTATATGTCATTGTGCAAGGTATATGACCACAAATTAAGGGTTGAAAGAGAGATAAATTATCCGTCTGGGAACTGCGAGCGGTAGCCTCGGAAAAAGGCTCTAGTAAAAATATTAGCTTGTATAGTCAACATTGCAGAAGGACCAGGAAATTGTAATTGTTAGCTTCAAAATTTTCAGTGTCCTGTAATAAAATAATTGCATTTTCTATAATGATATACAACACAGATTACAGTTAGCCTGTAGCTCTTTTTACGTGTTCATCAAAAGAAGGATAGTAATTCTCAGGGAGCAATTTTATGACTGCCATGTCTTGCTGGAAATATCTGCATGTCTGCAGATATCTGCCTGGCTTCTCTGCAGATGTGCTTATTAGATTCAGAGAAGAGAAACACTAATGGAGAGCAGATGGCAACTGGTTCTGTGGAAGAGATGAAATAGATGCAAAGATCCTCCTTCCTCTTCTGCTTTGGCAAGGAGGAGCAATGCTTATTTCCCTCCCTGCTCCCACTACACAAACAGCGTGCTGAAAGGTTGAGGAAGGACAGAGGGAGGTAGTGCTGTAGTGTACCATGCCTTGTAATGGGCTGGGATTCAAAGGGACAGAAGATCAAGTAAATTTAGTGGCAAAAGGTGAGCTGTCAACTATCTTTCAGTAACGTCCCTTACATTCTTTTGTACTCTTCCTACTCTTGGCTAATCCGATGGACAGGGGAATCACTGTGATCATATGCAGATATGCATATTAGCTTAGTTTATTTGAACCCAGTCATTTTTATTCTGAACTGTTTAAAGAAAAATAATGTCAATCTAAAAATTAAATCCTTCTAGGTTCTTTTTTGTTTGGTTGTTTTTTTTTCCAAAAATGTTTTTCTGTCCCCAGAATGCTTAAGGCAATGACAGTTTTACTAGAACAAGAATGAAGGCAGTGGCAGAAGTAGGAGTTGTAGCTCCAAGATGAGTTATAGTTCTTCTATAGACTCATGCTGTCTTAGTTTAAGACACTAAAACTGAACGTTTTGATATTAACAAGTGGCAAAAAACCACTTGAGCAATTAAAAACACACAACAGGCATCAGGGTACTGCATGAGTTTCTTGACATAGTTCTTTTGTTTTCTAAAATTTCATACAGGAATTTAGATAAAAAATTTCCAACAGAGTTGCTTTAAAAATAGATGCATCTAAACCTCCCAGATAATATTAAAACACATTATTAAAGAGAACTCACAAATCCATGGCAGAAATATACATTTTATAGACATACATATATGTATGGCTCCATGCTAATGCACAATTACTTTTCCAGAGTGAGCAGCCATAGTAAAGCCAATTAGACCATCCTTGTGAGAGGAGTTATGCATGCGCCATAGCATTTGCCATATCAGCAGACATTTTGAACAGCAGTGAGTCTGCTTGTAAATGAAGCATAGTGGCGCAAGAGGGCCAGAACCCCTTCAAAAATTTGGATGGCCCAATTCTAGAACATCCTAGGTCATCAGGAATGACAAAATAGAAGGTTTTGTCCTGAGGTCCCTTCCAACCCCTACCATTCTGTGATTGTGTGATTTTGGGGTATGATATGTACCACAGTTAATAATCAACTAACCTTTTATTGTTGGGACAAGCTCTTCAGTGCTAATGAATTATTCTTTTGCTGAAGAAACTTCATTTTAAACTGTAGATAGTAAATTATGGTATTTCTTCACTTCATGCGCATTTGCACATTTGCTGAGGAAAAAATAATGCTTTCAAAATTCTGGATGTTGGTTCTTAGTTCTCTGGAAATGTGGACACACAGTAGCAGCCCAAAATAAAGAATTTTGAAAAATTACATCATCCCAGAGTGGAATTAAGATATATTGATTATATATAATTATTGGATTAAGGAAAAAAATCATCTGTTAATGTCTACTGAGCTTCATTAGCTAATTGAGCCAGGGAAGGCTGTTTTAAAAATAACCTGTAGAGGGCAACCTGCACTTACAGACAGGATGCCATGCACGGCCACCAGTTCTTCCTGCTTAGTCTGGATGCATCCGTTTGTATGGTCCAGGGCAGGAACTCAACCCCGAATGTTAAATTCTGTACCCTTGACAGGCCATGTCAAAAAGGCCATGATGCAAACGACGAAGGCAGATTTGTTCCCACATGTAGTTATGGAATTGGGAGGATTGAAACGAGAGATGAGCACAGCTGTCCCTAAAGCAGGCTCTGTATTAAGTACTTTTCTTGTTAATATGTGAAGAATTTAAGTGTGCTCTGATTACTGTAAATTCTTGAAGGTTGTGTCTCCAGGCCTGCACAATATGCTGGCCAGGCTAACAGTCTTCACAGCGATATTTGGAAGTCCAAAGAGAAAAAAAATTGTCGTCTTGTGTGTGGGTGTGCGTGTATGAGCACACATCTGTGTCTGTAAGCTGTGACAAACAGGATGCGGCAATGTGACTTCTGTCACATTTCTACTTTATTTCTGCTTCCAGTTTTCTACTTTATTAAGCAGGCAGGGTGATCTGGTGGTCTTTCAAACAAACAAACAAAAAAACCCCAGTGATTTATACAGCTATGTAATACAATTCTAGTAAATTAAATAATGTTTCTATGATTTGTAAGCATCCATTTTCTATTTCAGAATTCACAATGATGCAGATTTAAATAACTTTTTATAGCATACACCCTTTAAAATAGTGCAGGTTTAAGAATTGGGATACATGCATAAAAAGCACAGAGTATGCATAACGTTTAAGTGTTGTCTCAAGGTGACATGCTACATTTTTTGTATTTATATTTTGTGATACTGTAATTAACTGTGAGAGGTTAGGTATCTGGCATCAAAATATATATAAACTCAAAAAAATATCATCAGCAGTGTGGTCTGATTTTCATGCACAGTGGGCCACTTAACTGTCAAATAGTGATGTCCATTAAGAAGTTATTTCCAAGGTGTTTTCATTTAAACTGTTGTCAGTTCTGCAGACTGATTTACAGCATGATTGACTGGTAAGGGATCTGCCTAGATGGCAGGGCTATGGTGAGCTGTCACTTTTCTCTGTGTGAACCGTGGTTGCTCCTCATCACTGACAAAATGAGAAATACAGCCCCAGAGGTGCACCCAGGCACACTTCTGATGAAGGTGCTAGAGGGCTGCAACAGGCCATTTCTTTTTAAAGCCCTTAACTATATTCTAGTAAGTTTACAGATTGATTTCATGTAGTGGGAATTACTGGAGACTTTAGTTATGGACAGAGGAATGAAAGATGAATTTATGGAAAAATGACCATCACCTAGCATTTAGCAATCACCTTGGAACAAATAATGTAATTAAATATAGTGTAAATTTATTTAATGTCAATATATTTATATATATCTGTAAGTACTGATCATCTTTGCCTATTTTGATGCCTTGTTTAAAAGAGCTCCTTTAAAAATATATCTTTTGTTAGGGACTCAGAAAAAGATATTATTTAGTCACTCAACATGGAAATTCCTATGCCTTCAAATGAGGACTTGGAAAGGTGCACTGGGGGAGACAAGGAATTTGAAAAGGTATGTATTTTAAAATAAGAAGACAGAGGCTGCTTATTTCAAACTCTTATAGGCACATAAATAACATCATATTTAGTAAAAGAAAGAATTCTTGTAACTTGGACTTCAAGAGAAATAGCCAGTCTAAATGCATCCTAGCTTTACTTCACTCCATCCATGGGGATTTGTGCATAAAAGCAGTTTCAGTTTCACACTTTCTGATGGTCACTTAATATACTATATATAATTGAACAATGATGATGCCATGTAACACACCAACCAAAGAAAAACATCAGAACCTCCCTAAACACAGCTACTGACTCGGTGCTACTATTCTGTAGCACTATTTAACAGAAAGATGATATATGAAGATTTGCCACTCCTCTCCCCTAGTTGTCTTCAGTTCTGCTCAGCTGTCAGGGACTGAAGAAATCATCAAAACCTCTACTTTTACAAAAAATCTTCATTCCTTTTTCAATCTTCTATCTAGTCCCATGTACAGAAATCTTTCTCAAGTATGCTACCCTTGAGGCCTGACTTACATAATGTGCAAGGTTGTAATCTGCAAATGCTTTGAGAGAATGTGCAAGCTGATGAGGTCAGTTGCAGACTCAATCTCCTTACTTGATCCATATATTTAAAGGATAAGGGATTTTCACTCATTGCTGCTGTTGTACCACTTTTAATCCAGAACACATTGCTAAAGGTATTTGGTATCTCCTCCCTGTCACTATTCCTTTCTGTGTTTCTGCCCTGCCTTCCAAACAGGTCTTTATAATTCAAGATGCTTGAAATTAACTTGATAAGGGAGCAGGGGGAAGTTCCACAACTTCTTTTTGTATATTTCTGCTGAGGAAGATGGCAACAATATACCACACACCACAGAAGGAGGAACTGTTTCAGCAAACTAGGATCCAGCAGAAGAATAAGGGCTATTTTACAGGCTCGGAAGTAAACTAAAAACATGGAAATTAGCTTTGACAATAGTTGCAGGTATGGAAAAATACAGATAACAGCATAAATCCACATGGTATGTAAAAGCCTACAATTATGCTTGCGGAAGCACTATTAATCAAGCATCTAAAACCACAGAGAAAGCAAGCCAAATAACTTGCTAGTTGTGCTTTGTATGCAAAAAATTTATATTGGGTACATACAAACAGGACATTCTGTAATGGCAGGGGAAGGAGAAGGCTCTGACTGAAAGCTCATGCAAAACAGAGATTGTATCTAGCTACAAAAAGCAATCACAGCATTATCTCCAACCTACCGTCTATTGCATTCTTACCTTTTTGACGTCCCTGACTAGATGATACAGAGTGTTGGATGGTCCATGTCTCTGCAAAGAAGAATAACACAGTTTTGCATTGTCCAAAGACCTCCAAGATGTAAATCCTGAAATAGCTTTCTCATCTTAGTAGTTTAAAAATCAGGCAACCGAGAGCACTTCAATTCTACGGTGTTAGCAATTAAAAAAAATAAAATCAATGACAAGCATTATTTCACCTGACTTCTCTTTTGTATAAAACCATTCTGCAAGAAAAACACAAGAACTGCCATACTGGATGAAAACTAAGGTCCTATATACCAGATTAGGCTCCTGGCATAGGCAAAGCAGGAGCCCAGCTCAACATGCACAGCCTCTGGGAGAGAGTGGAAGGAAAACCAGCTGCTTAAGTGTCAGTCTTCCTGCACTCAGGATCTCCACTTCCATCGTTGATGGCTCAGAGAGCCCCTGAGCCTGACATTGAGTCTGGGCTGTCTCCTCTGAAAGCCACTAACAGCATGCAGTGTGTGAATTTGTTCAGTCTTCATTTGACTCCACCTGACCTGCAAAGCATTCCACAGCAGACTCTCACAATTTCAATTCAACATTATATAGAGAAGTACTTTCTTTCCTGTTGTGTTTTTGACTGATATTTTGAGAGACTTTTATGGGAGGTCTCCTTGGGTGTAACTGATGATAGACCAGACCACTGTGTATGTGCAGTCAGTGTTTCCATACACACACTGCTCGCACTTGCCAACACTTAATTTTATGTAACTCCATCACTGAACATGATGAGACTTTCCTGTGATTCTTCACGTGCTGCTTCAGATTTGCCTACTCTGAGTGATGCTAAATCACCTGCAAACATTCTTCCTTTGGGAGTTACTATTTTTCAGATGATCTCTAAACAGGCTGAAGAGTAGTGGTCCCAGGACAGGGTCTTGGACGACCCTGGTCATTATGTCCTTTTGTGGTGAGAACAGACCATGTATTCCTAGTCTCTGTTTTCTATCATTCAATTAGTTTTTAAACCACAAGTGTCCCTTATCTCCTATGCCCCTTGGCAGCTACATTTCTTTAATAACCTTTGAGGTTTTCAAATATTGTCAAACAGGTTTTGCAAAAACAAGTGGGCCATGTGCAATGTCCTTATTCTCCTGCAAGTTGACTTCAGAAATGGTAATATATTTCTAAGGCTTAATATTTTCCTACAGGAGCTGGGTAAAATCTTTCTTGACACAAAATTGATCACCTTGTCTATTAATTCCATTCTTTATTATATTGTTACAAATTTGCCATGGCAGAAGCCAGATTCACTGGTTTGTAGCTTCCCAGGTCACTGTTAGGGCTTGTGTTGAAATTTGGTATTTTTTAACTGGCCTTGTAATTTTTTTGGTGCTAAGGCTACTATGGATGCATTAGATCATACATCATAATTGGTAGTTTAGGCATTTCACAGCCTGGGTCTTTTGGAATTCTCACAATAATTTAGGGTGATTTCTACAGCTCACAATAAATTTGCTCAAAAAGGCCTTCTTTTAGCTATAGAACTGAAGACTTTCCTCAGACTTACTCCCTGTAAAAACTGGCTTTGGTACAAGAACTACAATGCTTATCTCTGTAGCAAGGAAGCTCACAGGTTTACTGTTCTTAACACACGGACACTAGTTGATAGGCGAAGTTTAAGCTGATCAAAGATCAGATGGGAACCTGTCTCAAGGGTGGCATGGACACCTGTTCCTCTGCATTTTGCTCAAATTTAATGAACTGTTTTCATGTTTGATATCTTTGAAAGACTGACTTCTGGTCACCATCAGTGTGAAACATCTCTGGATAACAGCCCAGTGTGGCAGCTTATGACGGGGCTTTGAAAAGTACTGGCAGAAAAAAACTTTTTGAAAAGGGTTGTGCACCATATCAGTCTCCAACTGGTAGAACTAGCATTCCTAAGAACTAGACAATGCTTTACGATTTTTTTCATACCACTTAAGTAATTTGAACTTATTGGCTTCTCTCAGTAAGCAATGATGATGTGAATCTTGGAATGTGTTTTGCACTTGATAACTCTGAAGCAATTTGAACCTGTACAGTTTTATGTTCGTTTTAAGGGCAAAGATATAAAACTTGCAAACAGGGTTTTAAAAGTCAAAAACTATCATTTTTGACCATTCAGTGAGGACACGGGGAAGACCTTCACTGTAACAGACCTCCTGAAATAATCAGATTTCACCTCTGAATTCAGGATACTATCCCAAGAAGTTTGCTTCTGTTTTAGAGTGGCTGAGCTTAACAGTTGCAAGATTTTTCTGAAACCTTAAGGGCTTATTCTGTCAGGAGTCATATATTGCCGTCCTACAGGTCCTAACTTGCCAGTTACTGTCTTCCAGCCAGTGCCATCTGCCTAAATCTCAGGTCTATCATACTGGTATTACAATGACTTGAAATCAGCTGGTACTGTGTGGGGCTTAATCCATGTTTTACAAAATCCATACAGCAGACTAGGTGGGCAAGACATAACATGTTCCATTACATGAGAGACAAAGCTAAGAGACAATGTGGACTTCTAATATGGAACTTCCTCCACAGGTGTTGGCTGCCTTGTGTATCATCATGTCGTTGGAATATGAGTAGGAGCTAGAACAATGAATATAGAGATAGAAAAATTGCCTTAGGTTGGCCCTACCGTATTGTACAATTCCTCTAGCCGGGAGATGGTGAGAAAACGATGCATGCTTACTCCATTTTCTATGAGTAATTTCACAAAATCCACTCTGTCCAACACCAGTGCATCCAGCATTGCTTGCTCAAGGGAGCCCACCTGCAAAGCAAGTGATTATTTCAGGCCATTCCTGGGCATCACAGGCTGTATCTAGCTGGTCTGGTCACCCTCGCACAAGCAGGGAATCCTGATAAAATTCTGAGGGTCGCTCTGCCAAGCTTAAAATGGGATAATCACAGTTTTAGTCCTTATTAGATTCTCTGATTCAGGTCAGCATTTCAAAAATGGGTGTCAGAACTTTAAGATTAATATATTCTAGGAAATCCAGATTAGGACCATGGAACTGGAACCCAGGAAATTGGTGACCACACCACCACACTATTCACCATCTCATTATTATCTTTATTTCTCACTTTCCTGACAAACATTTTATTTATATTGGGTATATTTGTTATGTGCTCACACAGTCACTTTAGTTCTGTCTTTACTATCTTTTTCCTCTGTTCATGGTATGGAAACTCAGGGAAACTTTGACACCCAGGAAGCAGAAATAGCTCCACAATTAGCATTTCTTTGAAAGGACAAATGCAAGAGGTCTTCCTACGCAACACTTCTTTCCTATCTCTTTCAGCCTGAGGGGGAGTTAGATGGATGAGAAATTATCTCATACTTCCAGCTTTTAGCTTGCAAAATGATTGCAGCTTGCAGCATTTATGCAAAGTTTTGCTATGATGTGGTGACGGAGCAGTAACTACAAGGACAGTTTAGTACCATTAAAATCCATCCTATGTTTTGATGCATACTTATGCTCAATACTGAAGACAAAATAAATAGTCCTGTTCACTCATAACTGAAAAGGCAAGTATTTTTTCAATTAGCTCTAAGGGGCAGCAAGCTCATGAAAATACATTTAAAGCAAGGATAAGCAAGAAGATTTTATTTTTGTTATAATTTTTCCATGAGGAGTTGTAAATGCTCATGTAATGACAGCACACGAAATTTTCAACATGGTGACAAAACAAGTGTCACAGTAATGAATGTTGTGATCCAATTAAACCTTCTGAATGAAGATATGGTGGGTTTTAAGGACATACAGGTAGAGACAGAGTCCTTCTGTTTTTTTGCCATTGTACAAACCGCAACACAAGATGGGAGTTGACTACTCCTTCTCTGCCCCACACAGTGTTCAATAAATCCTCTATTTACAGCTCTCCCACTGCCATAGAAAAGCTCTGTGCACAGTAAGACCCAGGGGAATGGTGCTGGCCAGGGAGCCTGTCTGCACAGCTGGCAGCTGGAGCATAGGATGGTGCAGATGTGAAATTAACACCAGCTCCGGTCTGGAGCCACAGCACTTCTGTGGTAATACTGCTGATCAGCTCTCATGGTCCAGTTGATGACCTCCAATATTTGTGCAGCATATTTTTGATGTCCAGTCATTATAAAATTCAGTATTTGTATATAAAAGCACGTTGCTTGAAGACCAAAAAGAAGTTTTGCCTTTCCTTTAATTTATAGCCTAATATTGTAACATGGCTGTAAACAGATACTAATTTTTCTCAGCTTGCAGAATCATTACTTGATAGTATAAATGTGTTGCTTTCCATCTTTTTAAAGGTGTGGTTTCTCAGTGTTAAGGCATCGCTAGATGTCAGCATTTCCTTGAACCAGCGAACATACTAACATCTCTGTAACATTGACTGGTTTCAGTTCCTATTCAGTTGCTGTGAATAGGAACTTTGTGTTTGGCTGGGAGCATGACTCAGTATATTTTAAATTGTGTTAAAACCACCACTGCCAACAGAGCAGATTTAATGTTGTGTAGTGTTTAAAGTGTTTTCAGTAGAAGATGATGTATATATACTGTACCGGCCACTGTTGCCCGTAAATAAAGATCTGACTGCGGGCGATGTCTACTCTGTTCCAGGCTAATGCTAGGCTCAGCTGGTCGGGAGCAGATGCGTTAGCTCCTGTGTATACAGACAGGGGTGCAGGGAGGAGAGAAGGAGAAAAAAAGAAACAAGACATACTTTAGACTCAGTCAACAGACCACCATGGTAATTCCTCTTTGTCAAAAATCTCACAGATGTCCATGTCATTTCTGCAACTGATCTCACATTAAACCAAAATCAACCCTTCCATTGTCCCTGTGATATGGGTTCTCCAATCTTAATCTATGTTTCTCAGATTGTCTCATAATCATTATATCCTCACACCCCCCTTGAAAAATTCAGTAGGTACACATGATATTGGCAGATGCAACTTGGGCTGAAGTGAACTAGTTCCCCTCCTCTTGGATGGGAGAAGCCAGGAGAGATGCTGATCCAGCTGCAGGAATAGGCACACACACGTATGCACGTGAGCACACTCACGCACACACGTGTGCATCTAGCAATTACAAACAGGTTCAACTCACGCAAACCCCACTGATTTCGACAGTCATGCATTTTGTTATGCATTCCCACCTGCTAAGGTGGGGATCCTGCCGAAGCATAGAATTTCTTCTCTGTCTATTGGCACTGAGGGGTTTTCGTGGGACAAATTTCCCTTCACACAAGCAATATTCATACAAGAAAGCAGGCTATGAAGCTGGTGTCATGGTATAACACATCCAAATTAAATAAGAAACTATGCAGATGATAAGATGGGTTTGGAACTGTTTGTGTTTTAGAAGGGAGCGTATGTTTTCCCCTGTACTTTTAATGGATGCTGTGGGACATTCCTGTCCTGCTGTGCTTTTTTAATATTTCACTAAGGATTTCATGGTTATTAGCTGATTTGTAAAAATAAAACAGCATTTGTGCTTCAGTGTCACAGGGAGAACTGGCCCAAATGAACTGATTAACCATACAAATAAAGGGCCCTTAACTTTTAACTACATAGCTGCTTGTGGTGATTAGGTGATTGTATAAAGGCTCGCTTTTAAAGACCTCATACCTCCACTGTTTTCTTGTCTTTATTAATTCTTATACTGATATAATGGAGTGAGGACAAACAAAAGCTTTTCATTACTTTAAAGCATTTCTCTCCCCATTTCAGTGCTATTCAAAATCACACACTGTTCCCAGCTGGAAGTGGAGGCACAGAAAACATAAAGTGTAACACGCTGGCCACTGAAGTCCCCTGGGAAGGATTAGTTCAGCAGACCTTTAGGAAACTTAGTCTACAGTTTAATTTCATAACTGCCAACTTTGCAGCCAGTTCAGTCTCACGAAACTTTGCCAAACACTTGGCAATATCTACAGCAGTTATTTGGGAGATGGTGGACTGTAGATCATCCATATTACTTTCATTTTATTACAGAAATGCGCACCTACCTTTTTATAGGTAGGTTATGCAAGAGCAGAATCATAGAAAGAGATGAAGAAAAGAAGAAAAAACAGTGAAGAATGTAAAAGACCTTTCTGTGACTAAGAAATAACAGCAACACCCCTTTGCGTAAGACACAGCTTCTCATTGCCATATACTACGACACAGGCAAAAGCTCTCACGAGAGACCTCATGGAGGATGCCAAGAACATCTGAACCTTCTGAGTTTCTTACACAAGCAACAGGCAACAGTCAAGAACAGAAAAAATTTACCTTTGGGAAGGGCAAAAATGTCTTTGCATACCCGCAGTGGGCATGATAGTATAAATTAAGTACAGAGAGTAAATACTGTTCTCCCCCTTTCTGAACCAAAAAACAGATCCTCTCAAAATGTCATTGGATCTTCTCCTTCCCATCCGTGTGCCCGCAGAAGCAAGAGCCTCAGCAGGTGCTCAGGCAAGCTGTCTGGTGAGCAGTGGAAGAGACATGTGGGTGAACTACAAAACCCAGGGGCAGTGATGGCGATCCCACAGCCTGGCACCATTTTGCACATGTGATGAGGAAGCTCCACCTCTTGATTTTCCTAAACTGACTACAGCCTACAGTCCGGGCAGCCAGGGGTGTAGCCTGATTAGAAACCACTTTGGATCACGATAGGATCAGATGGACTTGGACTTGCACTGCCCTCACTTCATCCAAAAACTCAAGCCAAATCATAGGGGCTCCAGGTGATTACCTTCTGACCCCTAGCAGAGAGCTTTCCCCAGTTTGTGTCAAGTGACTAGCACTCCTGGGTCTTTCTGTGCTTTAGGAATGACCCAGCTGCTGGATGAACAGAGGGCATTCTGGTGCATCTGATCACGTGAAAGAGCAACTGGCATGGGGCATGAGGCAGTGGCTGCACCACCAGAAAGGCCCCCAAGCCTACCTGTTCATCAGAATTGTTGTCTTTGAGCATGCTTACTGCTCCATATACTGAGCAGAGGGGAAAACAAGCCATGGTGCAGTCTCTGTCCTTCCCACCTCCCTTCATGGTGTTTAAAGTTGCCAGCAATAGACAAGTTTTCCTGTGGGCACATATGCAGTCCCAGAGATGATGCTCTTCTCAGTGCTTGTTACCATAATGGTTCTTTTCATTGTCTCACAGAGTACTGCAGACATTTGGCAGTTCAAGGAAATGTATGGATTTTCAAGGGGGTTTTGTACTTCAGGTCCAAATCAGCCCATCAGCTAGGATGTAGATGGGACAGCACAGGTCTGCATGCTGGGCTCTGATGCGTGTAGTGGGATGGTCTCCCAGAGTCAGGTTTGTTGTTGGAAAGCCCGTGTATGCTTCTCCTCTTTCCTGTCTTCTCCATGTGATTTTCAGCTTAATGTGCATTACACTAGTGTTACGTAACAGGAGAAGGAAAATAAAATCTATAAAAGTTTGTACAGAGCAGCATATGGGCTGCAGATGCTGTTTCATCGATTTTATTCCAGGATGGACTGATGAATTTTGACTCAAATGAAAAAGAAAGTATTCAGATTATTTCAGATGGAATTCTATCCAGCATTAAGAAGCGAAGATTATTACACTAATATAAAAAAAAACTCTCTAGGACATATGTGAGGCAGGCTTCCCTAAAATACTGCCTCCTTTCAATCATTTCTTTGATTTCATTTGGTTTCACAGAGCATGGATTTCAGTCGATAAGAAAAATGCAAAAAGTGACCTCTCTGAGGACTCATCTTGATCATAAGCATCACTGCTCTTAGATGGCCATCCAGGAGTGCTTGGAATTCTTGCATAGATTCTTCTGGTAAAAAGTCAGATGATCTATCCAGTATCTTGGACCAAAAATGCAATACTCCTTGATGATAAAGCCTAGGACCATAAACTTGACTCTGTACCTAGGTGAGCCAGGGTACACGTCAGACAATGAATGTTGTGCCCTTGCAGGATCCCAGATTACTGAAGAGACAGACTACAGGCTTTTATATACTGGCTAAAGTTTACTGTGATCAATGTAAATTTCTAAAGGATTCTCCTGAAACAGTCTATGACACTTAGTGCTCAGGAATCTGGAAAGCTGAAATGACATTAAACTCATCTATTTAGACAGAAATGGTTGTTGAAGACTCATTTCCATAGTGCTTCTAAGCATGTCGAATCACCATTTTTTAAAAAAGAATTAGATTACCGAAAATAGCAATCTAGATTAACTTCATGCTCTGCATCTCAGCAAGTCTTATGTTGTCTTCTGTTTCAGCAGCTCTTTGGTGAAAAGGCTGTGCTTCCACTGCATTTGCTACAAGCTTCTTCCTGACATTTAGCAAATCAGTTGACAATAACAAAGCTGATAGCAACAACAGCTATAAGGGCAGTAACCAGCTACATGGCCTAACTCTGAAATCCTTCTGTGCCAGTGATTTCATAGTTGGCAAACCATCATGCTGTTTTACAGGACCATCTGATAATACTTGATGGCTGTTCAGTAAGCATGAATTGTGACTTATTCACAGGCTGGAAAGTATGCAGAGACATTAGATCTGCATTAGCCTAATATGGCTTATCTCAGAGGGTTACGTGGAAGTAATATTACACTATGCATAATACCACACAGCGTCTCTTTTCCAGTTTTAACAATTGTGCTGGTAAGGCTTTTGGAGCACCAGCTGAAACATGGCTGGTGCTGCTTGTGTGCAACAGACATTGCAACAGCTTCGTGAACTGGGATCTTTGATGCCGCTTCAAAACAATTATATTTTAGAACATCGCCATATGCTGTCTTTAACTTCCCTGTCAAATGCCTTCTGCTCAATTAGCAGCTGCAAAAGGACAAAATCCGTTACTGTTTGAGTTCCAACTGTTCAAGTTAAGACAGCACAAACAGTTAAACTGTATCAATAAATTTACTTTCTACAAATACACGCAATTAGAAACTTACTTCCCACATTTGCATATCTGTCAAAAAAAAAAAAAAAAGAATTCACAAGCCATATGCTGTTGTGACATCCATGCAACGTAAATTGATAACCAGTTTGGATGTCATTCCCTCATTTATTGGTGATAATTTCCAAGAAAGACAGATCTGCTCACAAGATTAAACAAGTGACTCATGAAAACAAACAAGGAAATAATTTCTCATATTCAGTGCAGGGTCTGGGCCTTGTGGAATATCCCGTCCAGGAGGGTTCCTGCATTGGCAGCGTGCCTGATAGGGGTTTAAAAAGAGATTAGCTCATTGAAAATTTTAAACAGCAAGCAGGAAAAGATACTCCATGTTTCCCAGTCCTTGTTCTCCTCCTACTCCCTGAACAAATCAATCACACCAGGTGGGATTAATAATTAGCTGGTATGCACCTTGAATACTGACTAGCAAGAACAGTAAAATCCTCACCAGTGAGATGGAGAAAAAGTAGCCAATAATGACACGAGTTTCATGCTTTTCTCTGCTCCCTTCTCACACTGAAGTGCTGAAGAGGTGAGAAAGATTAATTGCCAAATCCAAATTTATGAATTTCAAGATAATTCAGACATAGTCTTCAAATCTGCTTACTAGTAAATCAATAGACAAGTGGTTAGCATTGCTACCTTAGATTTCTTGATTTGATGAAAAACACAACTATCCATCAGTCTGATTGGGGTATATTTACAGAAAGGCAGTATTTCTCTCATGGAATCACAGAACGTTGTGAGTTGGAAGGGACCCACAAGGATCATCAAGTCCAACTCCTGCCCTAGCACAGGACAATCCCAAGATCCAGACCATGTGTCTGAGGGCACATGTTGGCCAAATGCCTCTGGAATATTGTCAGGCTTGGTGCCATGACCGCCTCCCTGGGGAGCCTGTTCCAGTGCTCCACCACCCTCTGGGTGAAGAACCTTTTCCTAATGTCCAACCTAAACCTCCCCTGGCACATCTTCCTGCCATTTCCCCTGGTCCTATCATTGGTCACCAGAGAGAAGAGATCAGCGCCTACCCCTCCTCTTCCCCTTGTGAGGAAGTTCTAGACCACAATGAGATCTCCTCTCAGTCTCCTCTTCTCCAGGCTGAACAAACCAAGTGACTTCAGCCTCTCCTCATACGGCTTCCCCTCTAAGCCTTTCACCAATTTAGTGGCCCTGCTCCGGACACTCTCCAGTAGCTTTATATCCTTTTTATACTGTGGTGCCCAAAACTGCACCCAGTGCTCAAGGCGAGGCCACACTAGTGCAGAGTAGAGAGGGACAGGGTGGGCCAGAACATTTGTACAAAGATATAGCATGAATAAGGAAAACTGACTTGCCTGAGACAAGAGATCTCATCTTTGCACACATCAGTTGAAAAGTTATATGGACTTTCATTCCTCATGATCAGAATGCTCAGATTAAGAAGAGGCATCTGATAAATCTAATCTTGAGTACCTTCATAATCAGAAAGTGTTGAGGAGTAGGGAAGATGAAGTTTAAGTTTTAGTTCCTCTGGCTCTTGAGCAAGACACAAGTCCTACTGCCAGCAACAGATTATCAAATCAAGATTGTCAAGCAAGCATGAAAGGAGATATCTAAATTACCTACAGAGATTCAGGCATCTTCTGAGCTAACAGAAGTTCACTATGATGTCTTGCACTACTGTTTTGAAGAAGGAAGGTAATTCTGTTTTGCTAAGGAGATGACAGGACCAATTAGGCACTTACAAAATGGATATTCCAGATCAGAGAGAACTACACACGTATCCAGACTGCAACCATAGTACAGTTGCCATGTAAATACTGCAAAAGAACTTTTCAAACAGAAGAAAATCCCTCCCAGGCCTATGATTTATTTTCTTCAGCTTCCAAGAGACAGCTTTCAAGGTGGTAAAAGACTCCAGGGATCTGTGTTGGAATTCAGACCTTGAAAATGTACCTTAAAAAGTGGAATCACAACTTTAAGACAATCTGTATCTTACTAACAGAAATCAAGAGCAGTAGTTGCAGTGATTGTTTTAAGAACAAATGTGAAGAGAATACACTTTACACTAAGGGGAATGAAGAATCCAGTCATATTTAAGATAAAAATGAAATCTGCATTTAAAACATTTCCTAAGGATAGAAAAGATGAATTTGGTGATAGATGTAATTCCTGTTCCTTGCTTTGAATTAATTTATTTTCCCTTTCATCACCTTGATTTATATTGTTTCTGTGTGAAGATGTCCAAAATGCCTTGAGATTTAATTATGCAGATGGCTAAAACTCATTACCTTAGGGTAGCAAGCAGCAAAATAGTCACGTTACCTGCAGGACAAACAACTGGTGTTTTGATTGAAATGAGTAAAAGAAGTGGAGAAAGAAATACTGCAAAAGCCTAGAGAAACAAATGCTACCAGAACAAAATTATGCCAGTTCATTTCCTTGTCTGGTAGTTATCAGCTTGCAGTGATACTTTTAAAGTAGCCAGTGCTTTTTTACTCCTGTTCAGACTTTTTAAAAAAATGATTGAAGTAATATTTTTGAAATGGGATTAATAATTGTGTAAAAGGTAAAATACTATTTTGCTTGGTTAGGTTAAAGTTACTCAGGCCTTCTCCCTTTTCTCTTCATACAGCTTTTGTGAGCCTGCACAGGAAGAAACTGAGAAGAAAACTGAGCCCTGGAACAAGCAAGAATAATTCCAATTACCTTTTGAATACCCAGTAAATCTTATGAAACTTTTTGTTATTACTCAAATTCAGGTCTGCCACATGGCATTATTTATCCTCTTATTCAGGCTTGGCGGTGGCAATAGCATGATGATAACTGCTCATGAAGCATTAACTTTCCCCAGTCACCTTTGGAAGTCCATTCCCTAATGTTTCTCAGATTGTTCTTTAAAATTGTTTGGTATGTCTTATTCTCTGTTTTTAAAATCATTATCACCTGTACTACATAGAACAAAACAGCCTAGACAGCAACAAGATGACCATGGTGAATGATACATGCAATTTGTGAAAATCCTGTTTGGGGAAATACCATATAAATGGAGGCTTAGAACCTCCCAACCCTTGCTTAGGTGAGGAATCCTTCACTGGCTAAGTGCATGTGCTTCAGAGCCTTTAAAATCTCACCTGTTTCAGTATTTGCAAGCAAGTTTTAAATTACCTGATAACATATTTTGAAGGGAGCCAAGCTAAATGGTGTGTCTGCAAGACCAGGGTTTATAATGGATTCTAGCAACAGCAGATTTATTGTAAGACAATCTTTTAAGAATATAAATGTAACATTTAACAGCTTAGTAAGATTTAGCAACCTACAAAGTTTAAGATTAAAACCCTACCACCCCAATAGCTGAGTTCTTAGTTCTAACAGTGGAGACTAGAAGGAATCCCACACAGTCCCCAGACTTTCCTAGGATGACTTACAGACAACACTTTGACAGTAGTGCCAATTTTATCTACAGGGAGATAACCTCCTTTTGGATGGTCTACTCACCACCAAGGCAACCTAAGCCTGAGAAATTATTTGGCTGTCTTCTAAGGAGTATTAATCTTCTCAAGTAACCAGTGGGGGGTCACCACTGATGTTTCTTGTGACACATTAGTGATTGTGGGTGGAGAATAAAAATTCAGAAAGGAAAAACAGTAGCTATTTAAACATTAAAGAAAGAGCTGGATTTGTATAAAGCAGTTAGAACAAAAAGTATACTTCAATTTCACGGTATAAATTTACCATCTCGATACAGTAGGTATTGTCAATAAATGCAGGTTTCAGCACAGCAGAGACACAGAGTTAATCCATTTGGATTGATACAGACTCACTGTGGAGTGAAACTCCATTACCTTTCAATAATGCTGTCAGGATAGCTAAATCAATATCCTGGTGTCCTTCTGATCCCATGCGAAATACTGTGATCTGAAATGTTAAAAGACAATAACATTATTGAAACCAGGGTAATTTTTTAAAAAATAAATTAAATCGGGGCAGCATCATTTGGATCTCAGACTGTCCTGATGGCCACAAGATGATCTGACTTTATACATTTTATGAGAAGCTTATTAGATAGCTATTTTTAATGAGATAAAATTTGCTAAAGGTAGAGATTGTATTAATGAGCATATGGAAAAAAAGGCTTCAGTGATACTTACAGGGTGAAATTAGAGATGAAGGAATGTTCTCATATTAGAGTGTACTGGGTCTGGCTGGGATGGAGTTGATTTTCCCCGTGGCAGCCCTCAAGGTGCTGTGTTTTGTACTGGTGGCTCGAGGGGTGTTGATAACACCCCAGTGTTTTGGTTACTGGTGAGCAGTGCTAGCACAGCACCAAGGCTGTCTCTCCAACATTTACCCCCCCAGTAGGCTGGAGGTGGGGAAGGTCTTGGGAGAGGACACAGCCAGGACAGCTGACCCAAACGGACCAAGGGGATATTCCATACCATATGACATCTGGTCAGAAATAAAAGTCAAAAGAACAGAGGGGAAAGGAGGAGGCATTCGTTACTTCCGTTTGTCCTCCAGGAACCGCAACGTGTACGAAAACCCGGCTTCCCGGGAAGCGGCCAAACATCGCCTGCTGGTGGGAAGTGAGAATAAATATTTTGTTCTTTTGCTTCTGGGTGTGCAGCTTTGCTTTGCTTCTGTTAAACTGCCTTTGTCTCAACCCATGAGTTTATTTTTTTGTGTTCCATCTTATTTTCTCCCCTCCCCATCTTACTGAGGAGGGGGGTGATAGAGTGGGCTTTGGTGGGCATCTGGCATCCAGCCAGGGTCAACCCACCACATAAAGTAACACTAGATTTAGTGTTCCTAATACATTATTAGGAGAAATTAGGTGTATTACAGGTTGTGGGCCTAATTTATGGCATACAACATTGAACAAATATTTTTGACTAAAATTAACAACCTACTCAACCTCATGATTTTATATAGCAGAAAGTTAGATCAATAATCTAAGAATCAGGCTTCTAACAGGTCCAGAAACATCTTTAGACATGTGTGGCCATTGACCTACCACTATAAGATATAAGCTTCAAGGCAGTGAGGTGAGATACACAATTCATACAGAATAAGAATGAATATAGTGGGGGCAATTCTTTCAAGCCTTTTTCACTCTTGGTTAAGACTGCACTGAAACGCATAGAAGTGTAAATCCCCTCGCTCCTTTTGTTGCTATGGCAATAGCTGCTCTTGGGCCTCTGCTTCTTGTGAAGCAACTGAGACTGCAGCTTTTTATTAACGTCCTTCCATTGCTAATAAACCTATGTCATAATTTTGATCTGAATGCCTGTTACCTGTTTTACTTGTTCCTTTTACCAGTACAGACTGCATCAATCTTTTTTTTTTTTTTAATTGATACCTTTAGTTAGGAATTGTGTAAATATATTTTACACACATATTCAGCAGCATATGTGTATTGGGTTTGCGTGGCAAGGT